GAACTGGAACACGTTGCCCAGAATGGGTGACTGCACACTTGCTTTTGTTTTTTGTTGTCCTAACTGTGTTTCAGGTCTCTTCTAAGCAAGGCCCCAGGACTTCCCAGGGGACCCCTGCTGCAGGAGACTTGGGGGAGCTTTGCACACATGCGACATTAAACCCCAGGAAGGGAGTTGTGATGAAGAGGGACTCCCCGAGGGGCAGTAGAGGGCAACACAGAAAACAAGGGAACTCCGTCTTGAAACTGGACAGTGACCGGAGATGACCACCACCTCCTGTGCTTCCCTGATTTGTCTTTTGCAGTTTCTGTAGGTTAAGTCAGGAAATCATCTTCTGTGAAGACACTCAGCACCAGTTCCAAAGTGTCCAGGTTTCCAGGACACTGTGTTTGCAGAGAATCTGGGCTTAGTTTGGCTGGCCTGCCGTGTTCACTGCTGCCGACAGGTGAGTCTGTCTCCCCAAGGAAATCCACTTTGTGGTTGGGCACACAACAGGCCACAGAGAGGTGGAAAGGGTGCCAAGAACTATTGCAGGGCCTGGCACGGTAGCCTAGTGGTTAAAGTCCTCGCCTTATGTGCTCCCAGGATCCCATACGGTCGCCAGTTCTTATCCTGGCTGTTCTACTTCCCATCCAGCTCCCTGCTTGTGGCATGGGAAAGCAGTCGAGGACGGCCCAAAGCCTTGGGACCCTGCACCTGCGTGGGAGACCAGAAGAAGCTCCTAGCTTCAGATTGGCTGAGCTCCGGTCATTGTGGTCACTTGGGGAGTGAATCATTGGCAGGAAGATCTTCCTCTCTGTCTTTCCTTTTTCCTGTATATCTGACTTTCCAATAAATAAAATATAATAAATAAATATTTATTTATTTTTTAAAAAGATTTATTTATTTATTGGAAAGTCAGATATACAGAGAGGAGGAGAGAGGAGAGACAGAGAAGAAGATCTTCCATCCGATGATTCACTCCCCAAGTGACCGCAACGGCCGGTGCTATGCCGATCTGAAGCCAGGATCCAGGAACTTCTTCCAGGCATCCCTCACGGGTGCAGGGTCCCAAAGCTTTGGGCCATCCTTGACTGCTCTCCCAGGCCACAAGCAGGGAGCTGGATGGGAAGTGGAGCTGCCGGGATTAGAACCAGCACCCATATGGGATCCTGGCACGTTCAAGGTGAGGACTTTAGCTGCTAGGCCACGCTGCCAGGCCCAAAAATATAATAAATCTTAAACAAACAAACAAACAAACAAACAGATTGCCTGGCAGTCCAAGGTGTTCCTCCATTTCACGAAGGCAGGCTGTCCTAGGTGCTCCTCAGCTGCCGTTTCCTGCCAGAGGGATCTTATGCTTGGTCTTTGCTTGCGTGGGTTTCAAGAGGAGTTCCCAGGTAGATGTCAGACTTGGACAGCCCCTGTTGCGAAGGCCCCACTGTCTCCAGCACTTTGTAGGTTTGGTTGGGGTGCTTTGCCAGAGACACCACGGAGAACTTTCCTGCAGGGGTCTGCTGCACCACAGCATGCATAGCACAGGTCAAGTCACGTCTATGTGCCACTCGCAGGGCAGGAGGTTTGCTCTGGTCACCCAGGTTGTGCCCTGTCACCTTGCTGCTGCCAGGATTCATGTGGGAAGACAGCAGGCACTGACCTTGGACCTCTTTTTCTTTCCCCCGCCCCTGCTTCACCCAAAGAGCTTGCTTTGTCTGCCCGGCTCTTCGCATTGGGTAAGATTTTCAGGAACCAAACGACTATTCTTTTTGCTCATGCTCTGCTGTCTTTCCAGTGTTGCTGCCATTTTCTTTCCTTTCCTGATTCATTTGGGAGGAGAGAGAGAGAAAGGATTTCCAGATCCCACACCCACAGCAATCTGGGACCGGGCTGGGCCAAATCGAGCCACGATCCTGGAACTCAGCTGCAGCCTCCCGCAATAGACAGTGGAGACCCAACTGTTGAAGCCATCACTGTTCTCCCAAGGTGTGAATGATAGGATTCAAATCTAGATAGACGCATGGGATGGGAGCATCCGAGCAGTGGCTCAACACTGCACCATATATCTGCCCCAACATGGTAAATTAATAACTGGAGCATGCTGGAGTTGGCAGCAATTCACTAGTAAGAAGAGGACCCTGGAGACTACTACAGGAATTGGGGTGTAAGGACAGCCACTGCCCATCTGGCTGGGATGCAGTGTTCAGGGGAGGGCAAACCCTGCCTCTTCATGCCCACACTACAGCGGGGCTGAGACCCAGACCTTCCCGAAGAAGGCCTGTCCACGTGCTGCTACACTGGTGGAACTTGCTGGAACTCTTGGTGCAGTTGGCCACCTTAACCAGGCGCAACCAATGTGGTAGCTTAGGACAACATCTGTTTATGTTCTTACAGTTCTAGGGGCAGAAGACCAGAATCAAGATGTTTGCACAGCTGTGCTCCCTCTTAAGGGTTTCTTCTTTTTACATTAAGATTTATTTTTATTTGAAAAAAAAAAAACTTTATAGAGAGGGAGAGACAGAGAGATCTTCCCTCTGCTGCTTCACTCCCCAAATGGCAACAAATGCTAGAACTGAGCCAGTCTTAAACCAGGATTCAGGCACTTCCTCTGGATCTCCCACGTGGGCATAGGGACCCACCTGGGCCATCTTCTGTTGTCCTCCCGGCTGCATCGCTGGGTTGGAAATGTTGCGGCTGGAGTCCTACAGCCAGCAGCAAATGACAAGTCCATGTGGCAAGCCAGTCGAAACTGAAACCCCAGGAGGAACAAATGGTCACTACCCTGAAGTCCATCTGTTACACTGAAGACCTATGTCCCAGCTTCCCCAGCGATACGAATCTAACAGACATACAGCAAACAAGCTGGACACACTGACAGGGCTGCAGACATTCGCGTTTCCCTGCCTGCTCTGCCCACATTCCATTACCGCTAGGCCTCACCTCTTCTGAAAATCTTGAAAATAAATACAAAGCATCTTAGCATCAACATCTTTATTGTCCCATCCAAGCAGTGAACAGAGGGTGTGGAATACAGACATACTGGGGCCATGCAGAGGGGCTACCTGTCCTCAGAGTCTGCCTGCAGGAAGGCCAGAGAGCAAGCAGGTCCTGGGGAGGCAAAAGTCAGAGTGTCAGAGCGATGCAAGCACCAAGAGAGCGAGCCCCTCCCTGTCAGGGCCTTTATTGGGGTTACACAGCAATGCAATACCGCCCCCTCTGAGGTTCCAGAGGATGAGAGGTGTGTGTCCCAGGTGGGCAGGAGGGACCACACAGCGGCTGAGAGTGGCTTCCAAGCATGTGACCGTGAACTGGCTGCCTAAGACAACACCGGGGACCAGTGGCTGCTGGGCTCCACGGGGCCTCCTGAGGTACGCTGGGATTGAGATGGGAGTCCCGCATCCTACAGTGAGTCATCTTCGCTCCCCTCGACCACAACGCATGACACCTGTCAGCCGGCAAAGACCCGGATGCCTGCTCCCGTTGCAGCTGTTTAGCAAGAGATCCGGAAAACAGACCATTTCTAGCTGGGGCTGGCTCAGGCCAAAGCCAGGAGCCAGGAACTCCTCCTTGGTCTTGTATGTAGACGGCAGGGCCTCAATGCTTGCACCATAGCCCGCTGCCCCCCAGGCACATGATCAGGATGCTCCACTGAAGTATGGTGGGGGACTCACACCAGCAATTCCGACCCACGCAGCCTAACAAGCTAACAAGCCGCGTCGCCACACTCACCTCAGTAAAGAAATCAGACAAAAATGACCAGAGAAGCAAGGAGCAAGCAGAGCTCCCGCCACTAGGGGGTGCTGACAAGTGAGTCCCACAGGTTGGTGAATACGGGGTGAAAAAACCCATCGCTTTCACAGCAGACAGGGCACCTGTCACGTAACACCTCCACCAGTGCCAACTGTGGTGTTAAGGCAAATGGCTTTTCCTGGGTGGCACGGGACGGTCCTAGGGGCCGACGGATGCCAGGACATCCTGGGAGATTACCACGCCTCTCATCTAGTCAGTCTTAATGACAGAATTGCATGGCGCTCCTTCGGAGGAAGCGCTCATGCATCCTTAAAATACATTATCCGTGGAAAAATCTTGCTGATTCTTTAACTGTTTGTTATTTTTTTTTCCCCTCTAGCTCTTTCAGCCTTCTGTTTCTCTTTATTCAGCTTCCATGAAGCATCTCCATCCTCAGAGTGGGACTGTGGCTTAGGCATTAAAGCTGCCACCAGCATCCCATACGGGCGCCGGTTCACGTCCCAGCTGCTCCACTTCCAATGCAGCTCCTTGCGAATGCGCCTGGGAAAGCAGCACAGGATGGTCCAGCCACGTGCAGGAGCCCGAAGCTCCTGGTGTTCTGGCCATCTGCGGAGTCAACCAGCGGATGGAAGACCTGCTCTCTGTCTGGCCCACCCTCCCTCTGTAACTCTGCATTTCAAGTAAATATCTTTCTTGAAAAGTATTTCTATCCTCTCAGGCAGGCCTGTCTTTGGTGACAGACATGTTCTCTGTATGCCTGCTCACGTGGTGTTCAGTACTTGAAATGTGGTTGAAGAACTGAATCAAGTTCATTTGGTTAGTCAACATTAAATTTCAACAGTGGGTGGCACAAACTTCTCTTGTTTCTCGGGATGAAGGGCGGTGAGCTATTTGCACAGGACATCAGCACTGAAAAATGTGTTCCTAAATTTGGCCACAAGCCGATAAACTGGCCTAGATGTTTAAAGTGAAGATGTTGTACTAGGAAAAAAAGGGGGCCAAAACTCAAAAAGACAAGTGGGACACGTGAGGCAGTGCGCGTCCCGACTTGGCCGCCCTTCCCTCTGGCCCCGCCCCGTCCCCTAGGCCCCGCCCAGGGCCCGCCCCCTCGCACCTGGGCCCCGCCCCGCCGCCCGGCCACCCCGCGCGCGCGCGCGCAGGACCGGCGCGCTGACGTCCGACGCCGCAGGTACTTTCCCTGGGCCGGGCGGCCGGGCCGGCGCGGGGGGCGGGGCGGGGAGCGGCGCGCGCATGCGCGGCGCCGCCAGCGCGCTGCCCGGATCGTGCGGGGCCCGAGCCTCTCCGCCGGCGGAGGCTCCGCTCGCGCCCGCCGCCATGTCCGCCACCATCGAGCGGGAGTTCGAGGAGTTGGATGCCCAGTGTCGCTGGCAGCCACTGTACTTGGTGAGTTGCGGGACCGCGCGGCGGCCGGCGTCCTCCGAGGACCTGGGCTCGCGCCCGCCGACTCCCTCCTGCCTCCCCCGCCTCCCGCTCAGGGCGGAAGTGGCGGAGCGCGGGCCGCGTCAGGGGCGCGCCTGCGCCGACCGCTTGCTTGCCCCTTTTGGAAAAAAAAAAAAAAATTTAGAGCCGCGATCTGATCGTGGGCGCAAGCGCGGAGGTCGTTCTGCAAGGCGGCGGCGCAGCGGCGCCTGGTGGCGGGAGCGGGTGGCGTCCTGGCGGGACGCGGCCGGGGGTGGGAGGCCGAGGGGAGCCGGTGTGAGGGGGCTTGGGTGCGGGTCCCCGGGAGAGGGGGCTTGGGTGCGGGTCCCCGGGAGAGGGGGCTTGGGTGCGGGTCCGCGGGAGAGGAGGCATGGGTGCGGGTCCCCGGGAGACGGGGCTTGGATGAGGGTCCCCGGGAGATGGGGCTTGGGTGCGGGTCCCCGGGAGAGGGGGCATGGGTGCGGGGAGCCGGTGTGAAGGGGCTTGGGTGCGGGTCCCCGGGAGACGGGGCTCGGGTAGCGGGTCCCCGGGAGACGGGGCTTGGATGCGGGTCCCCGGGAGAGGGGGCATGGTTGCGGGTCCGCGGGAGACGGGGCTCGGGTAGCGGGTCCCCGGGAGACGGGGCTCGGGTAGCGGGTCCCCGGGAGAGGGGGCTCGGGTAGCGGGTCCCCGGGAGACGGGGCTCGGGTAGCGGGTCCCCGGGAGAGGAGGCTTGGGTGCGGGTCTCCGGGAGAGGGGGCATGGGTGCGGGGAGCCGGTGTGAGGGGTTTCGGGTAGCGGGTCCCCGGGAGACCTGCGTGGCGGAGAAGTGAGATGGGTGCCCGGTCGCAGCTCCGGGCTGCAGCGTGGCGGTGGCCCCAGCGCCCCGTGTGTGCGTGGGCACCTTGTCGCGGGCTGGGGTTCCCGAGCGCACCGCAGCTGGTGTCCGCGGACCTGTCGGAGCTGGCCTGCCCCAGCCTCCCACCCGGGCACACCCAGCTTTCAGGTCCTCACAGGCTCGCAGAGTGTGGGGTGTGGGTCACCTTCCCGGAAGGGAGGGAGGCTTTGGTGACAAGAGGATTGTTTTCTTTTTAACTTTTTTTGGGGGGGGAGGAGATTACTAAGGCATGTTTTCTAATGTGATAAGTCACAGGGACACAGGGATTTTGCCTATGCGTAGCAACAACTTTCACACTCGTGCAAGTACCAGTCAAGTTAAAACACGGAGCCAATCGCCTGAGAAGGCGTCATTATGTCTGTGCCCCACCTGCCTGTCCCTTTGGCATGGTCTTCTCTTTTAAAATCAGATGAACTGATTCTGTAGCATGAACTCTCTGATCAGCTTTTTTTAAAACAGCATTTTAATTTAGAGGACTTATTAATCTGCTTTAAGGGGCTGTAGTTGCTTTTTCCGTGCTGTCTAATCATGAGCATATTAGTGAGATGAAATGGGTTCATCAAATGCCACTTTGATACTGCAGAGACTGAAAGGAGAAAGGAAGGCTTTCCTCTGAGTTGGGATGATCCTGGGCTCCCCTCTCCCCCCTCTTTTTTTTTTTTTTAAAGATTTATTTGTTTTTATTGGGAAGTCAGATTTACAGAAAAGAGAGACAGAAAGATCTTGCATTTGCTGATCACTCTCCAAGTAGCTGCAATGGTTGGAGCCACACCAATCCGAAGCCAGGAGCCTCTTCCGGGTCTCCCACGCGGGTGCAGGGTCCCAAGGCTTTGGGCCGTCCTTGACTGCTTTCCCGGGCCACGGGCAGGGAGCTGGATGGGAAGTGGGGCTGTTGGGACAGAATCCTGGGAATGTGAAAGCAAGGACTTTAGCCGCTAGGCTACCGTGCCAGGCCCATCCCATTTTATTTAAGTAGCTGACAATAAAATGTCTCCTGTAGTTCATGTTGGAATGTAGTGTTTTCCTCTTGAGCCTTGACTGGCAGTACAATAACTACCTTGACTGGGTTAGAATGGAGTGCTAACTTTGGTGAAGGACTCTTCCAGTTATAGAAAATACTGATGTGTGTTCTGGTAGGATTCTGTGAGAGAGAGTGCCGTGTTCTGGTCGATTCTGTGTGAGCGAGAGTGCCATGTTCTGGTAGATTCTGTGAGAGAGAGTGCCATGTTCTAGTAGATTCCATGTGAGAGAGAGTGCTGTGTTCTGGTAGATTCCATGTGAGAGAGAATGCCATGTTCTAGTAGATTCCATGTGAGAGAGTGCCGTGTTCTAGTAGATTCCATGTGAGAGAGAGTGCCGTGTTCTAGTAGATTCCATGTGAGAGAGTGCCATGTTCTAGTAGATTCCATGTGAGAGTGCCATGTTCTAGTAGATTCTGTGAGAGAGAGTGCCATGTTCTAGTAGATTCCATGTGAGACAGAGTGCCGTGTTCTGGTAGATTCCATGTGAGAGAGTGCCGTGTTCTAGTAGATTCCATGTGAGAGAGAGTGCTGTGTTCTGGTAGATTCCATGTGAGAGAGTGCCATGTTCTAGTAGATTCCGTGAGAGAGAGTGCTGTGTTCTGGTAGATTCCGTGAGAAAGAATGCCGTGTTCTGGTAGATTCCGTGAGAGAGAGTGCCATGTTCTAGTAGATTCCGTGTGAGCGAGAGTGCCATGTTCTGGTAGATTCCGTGTGAGAGTGCGCCATGTTCTAGTAGATTCCGTGAGAGAGAATGCCGTGTTCTAGTAGATTCCTTGAGAGAGAGTGCCGTGTTCTGGTAGATTCCATGTGAGAGAGAATGCCATGTTCTAGTAGATTCCGTGAGAGAGAGTGCTGTGTTCTGGTAGATTCCGTGTGAGAGAGAATGCTGTGTTCTGGTAGATTCCGTGAGAGAGAGTGCCGTGTTCTGGTAGATTCCGTGTGAGAGAGAGTGCCGTGTTCTGGTAGATTCCGTGTGAGAGAGTGCCGTGTTCTGGTAGATTCCGTGTGAGAGAGAGTGCCGTGTTCTGGTAGATTCCATGTGAGAGAGTGCCGTGTTCTGGTAGATTCCGTGTGAGAGAGTGCCGTGTTCTGGTAGATTCCATGTGAGAGAGTGCCGTGTTCTGGTAGATCCTGTGAGAGAGAGTGCTGTGTTCTGGTAGATTCCGTGAGAGAGTGCCGGCTGCGTCTTGTCTGGGTCCGTTTGCTCTCACCGTGACCGTTACCGCTCACCGTCGCACTGACACATGTAAATACAGATGTGAGAAAGGGGAATGCAGCTGAGTTGAGGTTGACGTTTTGGTCGGTAGGGTTTGTTGGTGGTATCCTCTAGAATTCAAGGCAAATTATGATCCTCCTTGCCAGAGAGGCGCCCACACTTGGATCCTTGAGCATTCAGCGTCGAGTTTCAGGGAGCTGAGGGACCCACCGTGCGGCTTCACACCCAGGGGCCCTGTGGTTTGCTTGGTCGGTTCCTGCTGTCTTCCTGCTTTGTGAAAGAACAACGTGCTGGTTCGTGTGAGACGGACGCACCGCACTGACGGTACAGTTCGGAAAGCAGGTGGGGGAGAGTGGGTGCTTGCTGTTTTCTTGGGGCTCTTGGGCCTCTGTGCAGCCCGCAGGTGCCTGCTGCCTGCCCGTGCCACGGCAGCTCTGGCTCCGGCTTCGAGCCTTCCTCTGAGGATGCGCTTGATGGACTGCTGTTTCCAGAAGGACCTCATTCAAAATCCGTTTTTAAAAACTTACTAATTTTTATTTGAAAGGCAGAGTTAGAGAGGAAGAGACAGACACAGAGAACTACTGGCTCATTCCCCAAATGGCCGGAACTGTGTCAGGCTGAAGCCAGGGTAGGAACTTTTGGGTCTCCACGTGGATTCAGGGGCTCAAAGACCTAGGCTGTCAGCAGGCAGCTGTATGGGACTGTGATGTTGCAGGTGGAGGCTTAGCATGCTACGCCAGAGCACCGACCCACAATTCCAGGTTTTCATTCATTCTCACAACATATCTGATACATGCCATTTTTTTTGGCTCTGAGGACTCCTGACCGAAGGTGTTGTCCTGGCTCAGATTCGACCTAGTGGGGAGTGGTACGCACACAAGGAAATGAAGTTTTGATCAGTGAAAAGCTTGTGTAAAACAGTGTGTGCTTAGGAGTAGCTACCTGGAACTCTTGTGTTTCTGCAGAAGGGTGCCCCTGGCTTCTGCTGAAGATCCTGGAAGGAGCGGGGCCTTGCCCATCTCTTCAAGGGGAGCTTGGCCTGGCCAAGAGAACTGAAAGGGTGGGAAACATTTGTGTGCACGGAGCACAGTTCAGAATCCCGAGAGCTACCGGCAGAATGGCCCCCCTTCCTGTCTGCTGTGAAGTTGGGGAACTGGAAGACAAGGCCGGCCGACTAAGGAACTGGAGTAGTGAGGCTTTGCAGGCCTGGGAGTGCGGTGGTCTTACTGACTTAGCGTGGTTTGCGTGGGGCCGAGCTTAGGCAGGGAGGTCATCTGTGGCGAACGCTGAGAGAAGTGACACACTCCTGAGGTAGGTAGGGTGGGAGGGAAGTACAAATACAGAATGTTCCAGAAGTAGATGCGCTTGGTTTTGAAACTCTGCAGTTCAGTTCGGGGTGCTTGTAACACACTGAAATGGAGAGAGTTGAATATGCACTTGGAGTTCAAGAGAGACAGAGGCCTGGGGTGTTAAATACAATTGTGGAAATCGTGAGAAGGCTGTTGACATTTCGAGGTCTCAGACTTGAATAAGGTGCTGGCTTCAGGGAAGACACCAGGGGATTTGGAAATGGCGGAGTCGGCAACGTTTAAGAGGATGGGTGGAGAAGAGGAGCTTCCAAGACCGGAGAGGAGTAGCCGTGGGGATGGGGAGCGAAGTGACGGTCACGGTCGGGGGTGTGGTCAGCAGGGCCAGGCGCTGCACGCACAGAGGACAGATCATGGCAAGGCTGAAATGACTGTTGACTGGAGCAGCCAGGAAGTCAGCCTTCAAGGGAGCCGTTTCAGTGGATTCCAGAAGGGAGATGCTTGGAGTGGAGCAGACGGGTGGGGCGGAGTACCAGCAGGCC